AACTTATTTTTGATTTCATTTCTTTTGCAATTTCTTTTAAATTGAAGGTATTTCTACTATATATATACTCTAATATTATTATATACTATTTTATATACTTATAATATACTTATATTTATAATATATGCAGTAGTGGTGTGGTGGTAGAGCGCTCACCTTGTGAGCAAAAAGTTTTAAGTTTGATTCTGCGCTCAATATGTTTCTCCATTTCTTATTTTATGTTTTTAATTTAAATTATAAATTTATTAATAAAAACTCAAAAACAAATTATAAATTTTATTCTAACGAAGTTAGGATAAAATTCATTAGCTAGTTAGCGCTCACACACATTTAATAGACACCAATTGCTACACATGTAAAATGATACTTTTTAATTGTGTTTAAAAAAATTGTGTTTGACTTGATAACTAAGAAAAAAAAAATTTACTTTTTTTGATCCCCTTTAAACATTTTTTTATGACAGGTAAGACTTTAGGTAAAAACAGGTACTCCTGGACTTCAGACTCTAGACTCCAACTTACATCTCTCATTATTAGTGCAATGAAAGTTGAGAAAAATTATATAAAATGCAAAGAAAAAATGTTGTGATACAGAATCATTACAGAATAAAACAAACAGGACATTAATAATAATAAACAGATGATAAAGGATCTGTTTTAAAGGTACTTGAAGAGACTGGCATACATACCCTCAGGACTACAAGAAATACTTGTTTTAGAAAAAAAAAATCTCAGCCCAATATAAGTTGAAGTTCAAAGTCAAAGTCAATTTAATAACAATTAATTATTTGATAAACTCTAATTAATAATAAACAATTATTAGATGAATTCAACTTAATAACAAACAGTTGTTAGACAAGAGTTGAATTAAGCGATCGTGATATGTGAAATCGGGAAAATTATCTGGTCTTCAAAATTTTAGTTTATGCAAAACTGTGTACTTTGTTTTTATGGAGCAAATTAATTTAAATTTTTATGGAGGAAATTAGCTTAAATTTGTTAGCAAATAAATTTAATTAATAAAGTAAATAAGAACATAACAAAAAAACTAACTTACAACTACAAAAGTAATAACACTCTAGTCACTAACTGCATTATAAAAGTAATAACACTATAATAGTATTATTACTTTTATAAAGCATAACTTTTATGATTCTTTGCTCAAACAATATAAGTAAAACTAAATTTTAATTGAAGTAGAAAAGCATCTAGAAAAAATAACTTACAAACTTAAACTAATATATACTTTATGAAAAAGTTTATCATTTCAAAAAATATTACTAATGGTCCATAATAAAGCACATAAATTTTAAAATCATCAATTAAAATTTTGTATTGTAATAACACTGTTACAGTGTTATTACTTTTAAGATGCAGTTATTGACTAGAGTGTTATTACTTTTGTGATAACACTCTAGTCACTAACTGCATTATAAAGGTAAGTTTATTGTTTTGATAATTTTTTACAATTACTAAAAACTAAAATTTTAAAGACCAAATATTATTCCAGATTGCTTAATTCAACCCTTGTTAGATGAATTAAGCTTAATAACAAACAATTATTAGGTGAATTCAACCTAATAAAAAATAATTGTTAGTTGAATATAACTTAATAAAAACTTAGATAAAAACATAAAAAAATTATATATATGGGATTCAAATGAAAATTAACAGTGATAAAATTTAAAATACAAACATAGTGATTACTTAGTCTTTACTTGCTTTTAAAAATCAGTTGATTTAAACTACAATGCAATCAACAGTTAGAATAATTTGTTTAAATTACAACTGTAATTAAAATCTGTAAAAATATAATTATAGTTATATCATATGTAATGTAATTATTCTCAAATGAAATATTATCAGACATTTATTTGCTGATAAGTAATATTTTAATTGACATTGTGGCCAATCATACAACCATTTTGAAAAAGATTAACAACTAAAACAAAAAAAGTTAAAAATCGTTTTATATTATTGCTCAACTTAATACTGCTCATTTGTGCGCGTTTACACAGAGATTTTTACCATACTTGGATTTTCAGTTTTATTATAAGTAGGATTTAGCATGCTCTTTCTCTTTATGCTTTTAAATTCACGTGATGAGGTACTCTCAAATCTTAATAATCTGTTAATATCTGCTTAATCAGTAATAAGATCGAAAACTTTGCTTCATCAGCTTTATTAGTAACAAGATTTGCAATTTTTATTTAATAACTTCTGTAGTAAAGGATGAACCTTATGTTATTTTTGAATTAGTTAAGTTACTTTTAAAGTCAGGTAATTTATATAATTCATTTATTATTATAATAAAACAATTCAAGTTCTTTGCATTTAAAGTATATTATTCTGTAATTTTTAAATTAGGAGACAGTGATGACTCTAGAAGACGTTGCTCTTTTCAAAGGTTAAGAGGTCAAACTCTTGATAAAGTTAGTATTATCTCCAAAACTTTTTTATCTCAAACAGTCAACTCTATGTTACATGTTAAAGAACAAGATCGTTTAATACCTTATTTTAAAGAATTTAAAAAAATCCGTTTGCTTTTATATAAAAAACCAGATCATTTAATCGTTTGTTTTTCCAAGTTGTTAAACATTTATTACAAGGTATGTAATTAAATACTACAAAAATAAAGTTGTATTTGTAAAGTTTCTAATTTATATATTTTTCTTAATTTATATATTTATTTTTATTTGTGTATTATTTATTATGTGTTTATATGTGTTAAGGTTATATGGGTTTATATTTTGTAAGTGTGTAAATATCTTTTATATATGAATGCTTCTATGTTTTTTATATGACGTTATTTGTTTAGAGTTTGTAAGTGGGTATCAAGTTGTTTGCAAGGTTTCAAATTGTTGTGACTTGGCTTAGTTAACAGCAAGAGTGTTGACCTTGCTAGCCAAGTAGTTAGCCAAGTACTTTGCTATAATGTCACTTGGCTTTGTTGGGAGCAAGATTGATATCCATGCCAGTCAAGTGGTGTACTGTCATGATGAAACACATAAATTAAATCTGTTTGTAGTTAGTGTAGCCATAACAAGTGTTAAAAAAAATATTGTTGAAAGAATTTGTTTATAAGAAATGTTGAAAAGATATATAGTTTTTTTATACTTTTTAATATTTAATAATTTCTTTAATATTTATAATTATAATTAAATTTTATTGACCAGATTTATACTTCATTAAATATTTTTTATACTGTTACTTTTTGAGTAAATTTGTTCAAAAGATATATACTCTGTTCTTTTTTGTTAACAATTTATGCTTTTTATGATAAATTTTGTTAAAAAACTTCCTTTTTACAAACAGCTCCTCCCCATTTAAACATTTAAGAGTCTTTATTTCCTGCATTAAATATGTTTAACTTGAATTTATTGTTGTTGTTTTTTATAAAGGTATGTGTACAAAATATTACATAAGTTTTAGTAACTTTCATTAAATTTTTAGGATTTTTTGTATAGAGAATGTTTTCTCCATAATAATATTTTAATGTTTTGTATACTATTCTTTTTTTTTTAGAATATTGAATATAAAAAAAATTAAAACAGTTTAAGAAGTTTCAGTATTTTCAAGTTTCTTCACTTAAAGCAAATATATGATTGTTTATAGAGGTTTCCTATTAATAATATTTTTGTATTTACTTATTAATTGCAAATCATGCATTAAATGCCTTTCAAAGTAATGAAAGGGATTTTTTGACGAAGCATTACATTTCACTATTTCATGCTAGCAGTATTTGCTGAGCAGACAGCCCTTATAATTTTTTCAATTTGCTTTATTTATGAGTTATCTGTAAAAATTTTTCAACTTTTATTAACTACTTTTTATTGTTTTTTTGATCAAATACTAATACTATTTTGTCAATAATTATTAATAACTACATTAAATACAGAACATTACTCAGTTATAAAGATTATAATAATTTATTTATAACTTTAATTTAAATTCTTGATAGAAATATCTTTACACATTGCTATATTATTTTAAAACATCTTATTTAAATATGACTAATAGTAGAGGTAGAGTATAATTAGATAATTCTACTCTGTTTTATTTGTTTACACTTTATTTAAGATAAGTTAAGAAAAAAAGCTAAAAGTTTAATCTTGAAATAAATATGCAACTTTTATTATAATAAACATCATTTTTACACACTTCTTTGAGGCTTAGTTATGTCTGATAATTAAAGAAGTAAAATTATTAGGCTTCATTGAAATTAAAAAAAACCAGGCTATGCAAAATAAATATAACCGTCGCCAAAATGAAAGAGATGAGCTTAGGCTAGCTAAAGTAAATTGTTGTTGAAATGAAGGAGATGAGCCTAGGTGAGCTGATAAAATAAACAACCTCACAAAGTAAGTTTCTTATTTGTTATCTGTTTAGTCATATTTTTGAATTTTATCAACTACCAGAACTTTTAACTGATTTATTTTTTGCGGTTTACTTAAATTAAAGTGTAAAGACTAAATTAGGAACAAGTTTAGAAATAGTCTGCTGTGAATTAGACTCACCACGACCCGTATCTTACGAGCCATGACAGTTTAAATATAATTATTCAAATTTTTGAGTCATTTTTATTTTTAAAGTTTAATTAACTAAAAGGTTTAGATAAAGTTTACAAAAACTAAAATTTTTTGTCAACTTATTGCATAACTTAGCTCTTTAAAAAATTATTTTTTTTTATGCCTTATTAACCTCCGAGGGAAAATTTTGATATAAATCATGAAAATTAAAGCTCCCCACTAAATAATTATGAAACCTTTTTTTTTCTAAACATATATGTTCTAAATTTAATATTCATTAAAATGGCTAACATTTAACAAAATGTCATACAACTTTGCAGAATGAGTTATCTATTTACTAGGAAAATTGATTAAAGTATATTAAATTTTTTATAGTAGAAATAGTAAATTTATTTATAAAATTAAATTGTTCTGATCAATTAATTTGACCAATATTTTAGTTGGTTAATTTATACTAAATAAAAAAACTCACAAATTTTGTCGGAATATTTTTCCCTCCTAAATCTGTTTGAACTATTCCAGAGTACTCCTCGCCTAATGTCTGTGAACCTAAATAAAACATACTACATAAATAATACAATAATTTACATACATTCTAAAGGAAGAAAAGTTTGAGATAATTTAACTCATGCAGGATTCACCTGCCCTAATGCTTAGTTAAAGATAATTTTATACTAATAAAAAATAACTTTTGTGAGAATAAAATTAAATTTTTATAAATAAATTTTTTTAATTTAAAATTAATTTTGTTTTAAAAATGAATTATGTGTTTTGAAAAAAAGATAATTTTTAAAAGCATTGTTATGCAATCATAATAAAAATAATAATCTGAAGGAGTCTTAATTTTTGCAATACAAGACATGCACTCTTAGGTACCAAGCAACCATCCCCCTTTTCATTTCTTTCCCTTCCCCTTACCCCTGTTTATTATTTTTTAAAATTTTTCTTTCTTAAACCACAACCCCTCATCGCCTCTCTTTTCTCCATTTATTAATTGAGTAACTTTTTGCAAATTTTCTAAAAAAATGTTTTAAGAAATAAATCAATTTGTGCTCAGATGTTTTTCAAAAATATTTATGTTATATAATCATAGTTAAATCAGCATAAATTAGAATTCAAAACAAATAAACTTGAAGGTAAACATACTTTTTGTTTTAGCTAACAAGCAAACAAATGACAGGTTATATACAAAAAGTGGAGAAGAGGCTGGTATTGAGCTTTAACTGGTGAGTTTTATTTTTACTTTTATAGTTTACAATTCATATTTACACACTTGTAAAGTTAAATGGTTTTCCATTGTCGTTTTTTTGATGAAAATAAAATTATGAAATATTTATAGTGGAAGCACTTCAAAACTAATTTATTTTACACATTAGTAATACTCAGATCAGTATATATATATATATATATATATATATATATATATATATATATATATATATATATATATATATATATATATATACACACACACACACACACACACACACACAGGGATGCAGAACTCCATTGATTTTTTTGGGTCTCCAGGACTCTGGACTCTGAGTTCAAAAATCATGGGCTCCATAGACTCGGAGTCAGGAATTTTTTTTTTCCTAAAAATAAATATGTTGCTTTTGTTATCTGGAATTTTTTGTATCTAAGAAAATGTTGGAAAAGTAATAGGGTACCATTAAAATTTTATCTTATGAATTATATATACACACAGCACCAAGCATGTTACCACTGCACCACGGCTGCTTACCAAAAAGTTAATTTGTCCCGCAATCCCTGGATAGTGAGAATTAATGAGAATAATAGAATTGCAAAGAGAAATTTTACTTAAGAAATATGTGTTTGCATATGTGTTTTTTTTCTTAGATAATTTAAAATCATATAATCATAGCATTATAAAAAGATTGTTAGTTTTATTATTATTTTTAATTTATTTTTAGTTTTATTAACTGCATGGGGAAAAAAAAAAAAAACCATATCGTCAATTAATTCAGATGTAAATGATGGTCTGGAGTCATGTGCTTGAAGATTAAAAACAGTCGCTAAACATTTACTTCGGATATGGGTAGCAATAAAGGGTATCGGCAGGCATCTAGTAAAGCTTTAGAGAACCAATCAGGTGCTTTTAATGGAATAAGTTTTAAAAAATTCATCTAGGTTGGAGGAGTTGTCTTTTTGATCGAATTTCTGGAATTGTTTTTACAGCTGCTCTAAACTTTGTTTAAATTATCTAGTTGAATCTGCTCTTCCAAAGAATTTTCTTCTATTTCCTGTTTACATAGCATAAATAAATTTGGTTGTCGATTTGCGACTGTTAAAGAATTCATTTTCTGTATTGGAGTCATCTACATGAACTGCAAAAAAGTTGCACGATATTGCTTTTTTGGTTTTGTTAAGTTCATCATTCTTATTTAAATTAGCCAGTTGAATCAACTTGTAATTAATTTTCCAAAGACCTTCAGCTGTATCTATCTATAAAAGCATTTATGATTGCATTTTATTTTCTCTTATAATCATTCCTTTTAGGAAATCTTTGGCTAAGTCTCTGTCTTTGAAAATGAAAAGTAAGATAGCGTGCAATTTGCAAGACATTTATTAACTCTTCCAGATCCCCCAAAAATATGGTTGCACATTAAAATCTTTTGAACTTTTTGATTGTTCAGATGTTGAATTTCTGGCCTAGAAAAACAAATAAATTCATTAAAGATACGAAGCTTTTATACTTTTATACGCAGTTATTAACTAATAAATAAAGATTGTTAAAGAATTTTAAATATTCACATAAACGAAAATTTAAAAATAACTAAGTAATAAAAATGTAATTAACATTGAAATAATATTTATTAAAAAATATTTATTTGGTTCAATGATAAAAAAAATAAAAATAAAATAGTTTTAGTTTTACAAACTTTAATTAAAACTTTAAAGTTTTAACTTACCTTGATTAGTCTCTCAATCATATTGAACTGGCTAGAACAATGGGTAGATCAACTTCAACATGTCGATTTCCTCATTAGTGCTGATACCAAAGTTGTGCATCAATTTTATATTCATCTAAAGTAATCAAATATGATTTCAATAGTTAGTATTATTATTCAATATACATTTTATACGTTACAACATCTAAAAGATCTTCAACTAAAACCAGCTGGTTTAAGGCTTCTAAAAACTTGTCTTTTATTAAAAGTAAATTAACTTGCTATGGTACAAAACACTTTGTACCATAGCAAGTTAATATGGATTGTTGTGAAGTGCTGCCTTTAATGCCTATAAATTTTTGTTTCTTATTCTTTTATTCTTGATTTTTATAATTTTTCTTTTTCTAACGTGATGAGGAATTCCAAGTGTTTTCTGGAAAAGTGTCGTATAAGATTACTTATGCGAGCTATTGTGACATATGTAGTTTTACCGCACAACTTGTTACTTTTACTTTTTTTCAGTAACATACTACTTTAAATCCATTCAAAATTTCATTTGTATAATAAAAATGTCTGTAGATTTGATGCATAGTTAGTTGCCATTACTGATTGTCACAAGCGAATAAATAGCAAGTATGAATATTAAGAAAGAATGTTGTTGTTGCATTTAATTGTGAACATATAAGTTATTTACTTTCTGCTTCCCAAAATTAATTATATGTATAACAACCCATAAAAACATATTTGGGCTAATCGATATCATGACTAATTATAAAACAATTTTGTAGTATGTTTCCTTTCATTATTTCTAATATGACGATTTAATTAATAAAAAAGTAAGGAAAATGCATTAAAATTAAAAGTAATTTCTTCCGTGAACGGAATTGTTGCGCAAAAGAATTTTTATTTATTGGTTAAGCTATTTTTATAACCTTTTTTTGGCTTCTGTGTGGCTTCTGTGTTAGTATGTTTTTTACCAATTGTGTAGCTTGTTAGTTTGACTTTATAACGCAAAATTGCAGACATATTTGATTTTTATTAACTTGTTTTGTTGAATTCATGACATGGCTCTAAATGGTGTTGAATTCATGACAATGGCTCTGTTAATTGACATAATGTTTTTATTGCAAGTAACTAGTTTGTTAGTTAAATTTAATAATTTTGTTTATCTAAACCTAAACACTTTTGTTTAAATTTTTTGCTTGACATTATTGAAATAAGTGGTCAGTATTTTGTTTACAGAATATAACGAAAACCAAAGAAAACCAAAGAATACCTTAAGACATAACTAACTGTAAGTTTTAAAACCAGCATTTTTTTTTTTTTAATTATGTCAACTATTTTTTGGCACGTCACATAGTTTGGGTTTTTATAAAAACTATGCAACTATGTCATATATATATATATATATATATATATATATATATATATATATATATATATATATATATATACATATATATATATATATATATATATATATATATATATATATATATATATATATATATATATATATATATATATATATATATATATATATATATATATATATATATATATATATATATATATATATATATATATATATGTATATATATATATATATATACATATATATATATATATATATATATATATATATATATATATATATATATATATATATATATATATATATATATATGTATATATATATATATATATATATACATATATATATATATATATATATATATATATATATATATATATATATATATATATATATATATATATATATATATATATATATATATATATATATATATATATATATATATATATATATATATATATATATATATATATATATATATATATATGTTCAGAGAAAATTAAAAATCAGTAACATTTTAAAAATTGAGTAAAATCATATTTTATGAATTTGAATTTTTCTGCTTGTATTATTTGCTGTTTAATAATTGTGATATAAAATGGAAACAAGAAGTACAACAGATATTTCGGTCAACAAATAGAATTGAATCTTGTCTACCATTAAAAAGAGAAGTAATCTCTTTATTGATGCATTATAAAAATGTCTGCAAAGAAACAAAAGAAAGAATCATTAACTTCTACTATTAATGATGTATTAGAGATGTGGAAGAACGCAGGAATACTAACCTCCCTGAAATGCGATGTTGTGAATAAATTAAATAAACTATATATTGAATGGAAATTATTAAAGAAAAGCAACGGAAAAAAATCAAAGTGTCAGAAAATTTCCTTAGAGAAAGAGATTAAATAGAATAAAAAACTAGATAAACTCTTTGATATAGCGCATGCAACTCATTTGCATGAGTTAATTACTATTGAGGAAAATAGAGATTTTCTAAAGTTAAAGTTACAAAGGGAAGGTCAAAAGGGAAAAATGATGGGAGTTGATAAGAATGAAGAAAAATGTCAAACCAAAATGGCAAAGAAAAAGAAAAAAATGTATATGAAAAGATCACGTGAATCCTAATCATTAGATAAAACAGTAATTATTGCAAGCAGCAACAGCTTTTGCAGTAATTCACCTGCGTCTACAGAAGAAGAAATAAATCTTGAATAGGAATCAACATCAAAAAGAGGCACTTCAAGAAGAAAAAAAGAATT